TTAGGGGTCGCAGCAGCTGCGGATCGACCCCGCTCGATGAAGAAGAGGCGAATGTGCCTCATCCGGTGGATGTCATCACTGAACCCATCAATGTCAGGTTGTACATTCGTCAGGAATGGACAAAGGACAAGGTGGCGCTCGGCCAGGCCTGGCCTGCGGGAGACGTTACAATTAATGGCCGCCCAATTCCACTGGGGTACGCTCGCGTCACCATTGACAGAATACTTGATAAGAAGTATAACAAGATACACATTGAGTACCTCGTAGTGGAAGACAGGCTGAAACTTGGTCAAAACAAGGGCTCTCAAGTGGCCTAGCACAAGCGCTTCATTAAGCTTGACCATCAATTGTCCTCTAATGATGAGGACGACTGCGAGTCTTCGCCCACCCGCGATGATCACTCACCATCTCCCAACAGAGATCACTCCCCTCCTTATCCGGAGCCATCACCCCCGAGAAGACAGAGGTCTCCTTCTATTCCTCCTCGTCTGACTCCATCTTCATCAGCCCCAAAAAAAGAGACTCCTCCTCCTCCTCCTCCTCCATCTTCATTAGCGCCGGGAAAACAGAATTCTCATCGTCATCCTCCTCCTCTACCTCAGCCCAAAACAAGATCAAGGACATCCTCGCAGTCGAAGAAAAGGTCCTTGGATTCGATCGCTAATGCTCCCAAAGTGGACCAATAGAAAAGAAAAAGGTCGTTCAGTGGCAGCGTTACCACCTTGATGAAAGAAAAATTTATAGCACACATGTCGAAGGAAGATTGTGTTAGTTTCTTCAATCTCTGTGCCTCACTGCCTTAGTCCGAATTCGAAAGACAAACACAGAATAAATACGCTACAATAAGAGACGAAGAAATACACAATAAAGATTTAAAGAACATACAGAAGTACATCGAAGACAACCTAGGATTAACTATGGAAGCGGCCGCGGCCATCTATTACGATGTACAAGGGATGGCAACACCAGCAATGAAGTATGAAAGGGGCAATCTTTTGGTTCCCGATCATGAGTATAAAAATCTGACAACATATATGCGCCAATTACATGGATATTACATGGCTCAATCAACAGAGACAGACGACTTTGGTTTTGAGGTTATTATCCGTTCGCCACATGTTTTCTATTATCCTGAAGAAGAGAAGTTCGATGTCGAGTGGGAGTGCTTGTTCCAGCTATACCAGAAACGCTCTCTCGATGTTCAAATGTTGACGCTGTGGACTATGTAAGTACCTACACGCACGATTTTACAATTAACTACTCTCTCGAGACACAAATTGTTAACTTTTCAGCACTTCCCATGATTTTATGTAGGTGTATAGCAAAATTTTGCATTCTAAAAAGCAAATGGGTTTCCATAGGCTTGTTGGACCCCATGCGAGTCAATGAGAGGACACGTCTAGGCTTCTATGGATGTGATGTGGAAGACCTAAAACATAAATTGATTGCTGTTTTCGACGAATTCACGATGAAGAAGAAAACCCACATACTTCTAGCCTACAACTGCGAGTATGTGTTCTCGGCTTTTAATTTTATGCTTCTTTTTTTGTTAAGATTATTCGATAATTAGGATTCTGTGATTGCAGCAACCATTTCATCTTCATTTGTGTTAATCTTGCCAAAAATCTGCTCGAGGTGTGGGACTCGAAGAAAAAACATTTCATCATCTGGATGCACTAGTAGCAGTGCTGAATTAGTAAGCGATCCTAATAACATATTATTTTCTAATCACACATACCGCTTTCTAATGTTTCTCCTTTTAATGTTGCTCAGTGTCCGAAGAAGACATATCGGTGGGACGCCGGTCCCATTCAAGGTTGTCGAAATAGAGGGGAAGTACCTATCACAGCCAGCGGGAAACAATGAATGCGGGTTTTATGTAATGTGGGCAATGCTTCGCTACATCGGCGGGAAATCGGAAGAAGCCGATAAGTTGGTGTGTATAATCACCATTTTCATTTATGTCTGTTAATAATTCAACAAAATGATTTACTGTTCCTCTTTGGATATCATCTTTTTTGAACGACAGCGCAAGAAATATAACCACGAAAGGCTGTTAGACGTAGAGATCATCGCATTGCAATCGGAGCTGACAAAATTCATCTTAGCCGAGGTATTGGAAAAAGATAGAGTATTTTCCATTGCACAATCCATAAAGTACAAGGACCAGTATGGCCCAGAGCGGCTCGCCAGATTATTGTAAGAAGTCCGAGAAGCATGTGTGAAGTCCAAGAACATTTCTTTTTTATTTTGAGGAATCGAGATGTGGATAAGAATATTTGAATTGTAATCATAACATTTATAATGTTTAATATTGATGGACCTGTCGTCTACGTAGCGTGTATAAAGCGAAACCCGATTTCACGAAAAAATATAAATTAAAATAAATTATAAAACAATAAAATATGAATGGGCCATCACCGCCGGTTAGCAACAAACCGGCAGTGTTGTCATAACCATCACTACCGGTTAGAAACAAACCAACAGTGCTGGCTTGCTCAACAGTGCCGGCTTGAACCATGAACCGACACCTATAGTTACGACAACACTGCCGGTTTGATCCATGAACCGACACTGATATTTACTACAACACTGACAGTGTAGGCTTGCTCAACACTGCTGACTTGAGCCAAGAACCAATACTCTTGAAGCAACCGTCACTTTAGGTTGGCACTACAAACCGGTAGTGTTGTTCAACGGGACACTGCCGGGTGAAGCCAGGAACCGACACTGTTTCCTGTAGATCAGTGTCGGTTTTTAAGGACCGGCAGTGATGTCAACCCCCCATCACTGCCGGTATGCCACTGTCGGTTCAAAATCCGGCAGTGAAGTGCGTTTTTGAACTGGCAGTGATGTCCAGATCTGGGGTAGTGTATGCATGTGTGAGTAGGTCTTTAGGATTTATTTAGAATTACAATTTGGATCAGCCTAAATCTTCTAAGGAGAACACACTTTTTGTTTGTTTGCCCCTGTAGTACTCTGTAAGTAGACTGTAACGTCTGTCACTCGTACTGGGCTACTGGCAGTACTGTGGCGTCTCTTCGCTTGCTTTGCTTCCTGGAGTTCCTTACTGTGCTACACATAGACCTCGAGCATGGAATTGCAGCTTGCAGTGCAACCAAACAGCCGTGCTAATGCACAGATCTCCAGTGCACGACACCACGGCCTGTGTACTGTGCATAGCGCGTGGAGCAGGGCGTTGCAAGAGGCCAGGTCCGGAGCCCCCTCCATCTCGTCGAACACCTTGCGCGCGTCGCGAGCCGGGTGTCCCGTCCGGCCGTGGGCGCTGACGAGCGAGCAGGCGACGAAGCGGTCGGCCGCGAGGCCACGGCGGAGGCCCTATGCGTGGAGCGCCCCCACGGCGGCCGCGGAGCCTGAGGCGGAGGCGGACTTGAGGAGGGACGAGAAGGAGTGGCGGTTGGGGCGAGCGAGGAGGCGGCGACAGGGAGGACGCTGGAGGTGATGCAGCGTCTGAGGCGATTATAAGAGAAAGGTGGTGGAGGGAGGAGCATCGGGGTCAAGGTCAAGGAGCAGCACGCCGGAGGTGAGGAGCAGCGCGTGCACTGGAAGAGGCGGCGCGGAATGGGAAGTGCTCTGGACGAGGCGCTTGAAGACGGCATCTGAAGTGCGGGGAGGCGCGCCGCATGAAATATGCCGCGACAGCAGCTGGATAGGACCTGTCAGCATTCCACGGAACGACTGGTCCTATCGGCACTACAGTAGCCAGGACGCCAGGTATATACACCTATCGGCTACTCAGAAACCGACAGGTCCCCTACCGCCCATTCAACGGCCGACAAGCTGCTATATGTCAAATTTTTGTATAACAACTTCTATATTTGCAATGAATCATTAAAAGTATTATTTTAAAAAAATCCAGTTTTCTGATGTGATCTACCGTCCGTGAGAGGGAAGCACGCTCACTCGGTGAGGGAAGCAGGGCCGTCTGTGAGGGGCTGATCTAAGAGCGTGATCGTGCCCAGCCAAGAATGGCCTCGCCTCCTGATTGCTCGTCCCTGGCTATACACATATTTTCCTGGTGTTTTCATAAGTATGTTGCAAATGTTTCAACTGTTTTGGACGTATGTTACAAGTACTTCATGTAGATGTTGCAAGAATAGATCTAGTATTGCACATCTTATAGTGGGACCCATCTGTCGCAACCACGTGCTACAGTGTTGGCCCACATGCATGCACATGGGAGTGGAGAGGGCGCGGGCAGCAGGCGCGAGAAACAGAGAGGGCGCAGATCGAGACACGACCCCTGCATGGACGCGCGTAGACGCGGGAAACGGAGCGGCGTCGGGCCCCTATGTGAAGCAGACATAGGCGTGCTAACAGACGCAGCAGCACGTATCCGCGCGGACGGGAGCGTCTGTCAGGCCGTCCGAGCACAAGCCTGTCCGAAAAAAAGAGTAAAAGCAACAGGAGGGCCCCCATAGGGACAATCATGCTGCAAATCAAATCAATCGTGACACAAATCAAAAACGAGATTTTAGCCCCGTTGATAGCTAGATTTCTTTTTTTTCTGATTATCACCGTGGCTAAGGAACCAGTAGTGGTCACTATTTTCACCAGCGGTGATGAATGAAGGTCAAAACCGATGGTGAAAGGGGTTTTGGACCCCAATGGTGTTGAACTTTCTGTAACAGTGAGTTATGATTAGAAACAAAATTTATCTTACTAAAACTTGGATCAACCGATGGTCCAACTAATCAAAGGCTTAGATAGTACGAAAATTAATGTTATGATATACTTACAAGTAAATATTTGTATACTATTGCCAATATTATATTATGGACATCGTGGTCATCATAAAATAAATTATAGATTTTAAATTTAGAGAAAAAACATAAACAGATATATGTAAGATTATGTAAGACTGATGTCCTTGTTTCACATGAATGAATGTTTGACAAATTTTTTCTCTCATTATAATGTACGGATATGTTTGCTAGTCAAGAAAAAAACCCTCCTATGTTGTTGGATTTTATAATGATCTAATCGTCCGCATTAATCTAAAAATATTATATATGAAATTAATTAAAAAAAGATTAAAAAAACCCTATACCAATGGGATTTATGACGAATCTGCAAAGAAGTGTCACGTGAAAGGTCGCGAGTTGCAACAGGTAACTGAATTAATTGAGCTTTACAGTACATGTTTGGTCAGCTTTTTAGCTAAAATCCGGCCGGTTTTGTATTACCAAGTGGCAGCGTTTACTTTCTGGGCTTTAAGCTGAAATGGTCTTGGCCACTGGTAAGGCCTAGGAAGACTGAGTTTATGGACAAGGCCATTTACATGTCGGAAACTTGGGCCTGTGAAGGGGGCTGGTCTAGTCAGGCAAGACTGATGTCAAAGCAGATCAGAACAGTTGGGAAGGCTTTGGAGTTCTGGACCGTTTAAGTTAGCCTCACTCCTAGAGTAGTAACATGGGACTATGCATGTGTGAGTGAGCCTTTTAGATTTATTTAGAATTACTATTTGGGTCAGCCTAAATCTTCTAAGGAGAACACACTTTTTTTTTGTTTGCCCCTAAAGTACTCTGTAAGTAGACTGTAACATTTGTCACTCGTACTGGGCTACTGGCAGTACTGTGGCGTCTCTTCGCTTGCTTTGCTTCCTGGAGTTCCTTACTGTGCTAGACATAGACGTCGTGCATGGAATTGCAGCTTGCAGTGCAACCAAACAGCCGTGCTAATGCACAGATCTCCAGTGCACGACACCACGGCCTGTGTACTGTGCATTCTGAAAAACTCTGGGGAACCTGAAGAGATGCGTTTACTTCAATTGCAGGGTTAGTGTGCTGACGAACCCCAGCTGGCCTACCGCTTCAGATTTCAGAAGTTTTTTTTTACGACAAACAACTTTATTATGAGCAGCAACGTGCTGCAAGGATTGTTACAGCATTCAAGTCTACATGCATAAGAGGTCCACAACACATCCATAATGGACCATCAATGGTGCCACCTTGTATTCAGCAACCATTGCCTCGAACCAGTATAACCCAACCTCCACCAATCCTGCACGAGCACAAGCCGCCAGCAGAGCAAGAAAGGTTATCTGATTTGGCAACAAGCCTTCACCCCTCATCATGTCGAACTTCACCAGCGCTTCAGTCTCCTTCCCATGATTAGCCAATGCTGACAACAGCGCATTCCACGTGAAAAACTCGTTGCGGCAAACGACCTCAAAAGCACTCCTAGTCCTAGAGCAGCCAAGCCTCCCATACATGTCAACCAGGGCAATGCCAAGGAACGCAGTGAGCTCAACCTCATGGCGGACAAGGTATGCATGGACGGCCATGCCCTCCGTGAGCCCCTCAACACCATCAAGGTTGGCACAGGCTGAGAGCACGCAGACCAACGTAGGCTCCTCGAGCCGTCGCCCCAAGTTACACAGCAAAAATCTCCTGAACACCTGGAGAGCGAACCGGTGGCGTCCACCCCGCAACAGCCCAGACACGAGCGTCGTCCACGACACGGGGTCCCTTGCCGCCATCCGCTCAAAGAAGTCCCCCGCAGCGTCTAGGTCCCCGGCGTGGCATAGCGCGTGGAGCAGGGCGTTGCAAGAGGCCAGGTCCGGAGCCCCCTCCATCTCGTCGAACACCTTGCGCGCGTCGCGAGCCAGGTGTCCCGTTCGGCCGTGGGCGCTGACGAGCGAGCAGGCGACGAAGCGGTCGGCCGCAAGGCCGCAGCGGAGGCCCTGTGCGTGGAGCGCCCCCTGAGGCGGAGGCGGACTTGAGGAGGGACGAGAAGGAGTGGCGGTCGGGGCGCCCGCCGCGGGCGAGCATGGCGGAGAAGAGGCGCAGTGGTGCGGTCGGGTTGTGCGAGGGGGCGCGGGGACGCTGGAGGTGAGGCGCTGTGAGGCAGTTGTAGGAAAGGCGGCGGCGGGGAGGAGCGTCGGGGTCAAGGTCAAGGAGCAGCACGCCGGAGGTGAGGAGCAGCGATGCAAGCTGGAAGAGGCGGCGCCGGAATGGGAAGTGCTCTGGACGAAAGGCGCCAAGAAGGCGCGACGAAGTACTGGCGCGAGGCGCGCCGCATGGGCGCACGCACAGGCAGCTGGATAGGACCTGTCGCATTCCACGGTCCGACTGGTGCTATCGGCACTGCAGTAGACAGATCGCCAGGTGTATACACCTATCGGCTAATCGGAAGCCGACAGAACCCCTATCGGCACTACAGTAGACAGGACGCCAGGTATATACACCTATCGGCTACTCAGAAGCCGACATGTCCCCTACCGCCCATTCATCGGCCGACACACTGCTATATGTCAAATTTTCGTATAACAGCTTCTATATTTGCAATTAATCATTAAAAGTATTATTTAAAAAAAATCTAGTTTTATGATGTGGTCTCACCGTCCGTGAGAGAGGGAAGCGGGGACGTCTGTGAGAGGCTGATCTCGAGGCGTGACCGCGCCTTGACCAAGATTGGCCTCGCCTCCTGATTGCTCGTCCCTGGCTACACACGTATTTTCCTGGTGTTTTCAAAAGTACGTTGCAAGTGTTTCAACTGTTTTGGACGTATGTTACAAGTACTTCATCTAGATGTTGCAAAAATAGATCTAGTGTTGCACATCTTATAGTGGGACCCATCTGTCGCAACCACGTGCTACAGTGTTGGCCCACATGCTTGCGCAAGGGAGCGGAGAGGGCACGAGAAACAGAGAGGGCGCAGATCCAGACACGACCCTCACATGGACGCGCGCAGACGCGGGAAAAGGAGCGGCGTCGGGCCCCTACGTGAAGCAGACATAGGCATGCTAACAGACGTAGCAGCACGTATACGCGCGGCACCCGGGCGTGAGCGTCTGTCGGGACGTCCGAGCTCATGCCTGACCGAAAAAAGGGTAAAAGCAACAGGAGGGCCCCCATAGGGACAATCATGCTGCAAATCAAATCAATCGTGACACAAGCCAAACGAAAAGGAGATTTTAGCCCCGTTGATAGCTAGATTTCTTTTTTTCTGATTATCACCATGGCTAAGGAACCAGTAGTGGTCACTATTTTCACCAGCGGTGATGAATGAAGGTCAAAACCGATGGTGAAAGGGGTTTTGGACCCCAACGGTATTGAACTTTCTGTAACAGTGAGTTATGATTAGGAACAAAATTTATCTTACTAAAACTTGGATCAACCGATGGTCCAACTAATCAAAGGCTTAGATAGTACCAAAATTAATGTTATGATATACTTACAAGTAAATATTTGTATACTATTGCCAATATTATATTGTGGATATTTATAGATTTTAAATTTAGAGAAAAAAAACATAAACAGATATATGTAAGATTATGTAAGATTGATGTCCTTGTTTCACATGAATGAATGTTTGATAATTTTTTCTCTCATTATAATGTACGGGTATGTTTGCTAGTGAAGAAAAAAACCCTCCTATGTTGTTGGATTTTATAATGATCTAATCGTCCGCATTAATCTAAAAATATTCTATATGAAATTAATTAAAAAAAGATTAAAAAAAACCTATACCAATTGGATTTATGATGAATCTGCAAAGAAGTGTCACGTGAAAGCTCGCGAATTGCAACAGGTAACTGAATTAATTGAGCTTTACCGTACATGTTTGGTCAGCCTTTTAGCTAAAATCCGGTCGGTTTTGTATTACCAAGTGGCAGCGTTTACGGCTTTAAGCTGAAATGGTCTTGGCCACAGGTAAGGCCTAGGAAGACTGAGTTTATGGACAAGGCCATTTACATGTCGGAAACTTGGGCCAGTGAAGGGGGCTGGTCTAGTCAGGCAAGACTGATGTCAAAGCAGATCAGAACAGTGGGAAGGCATTGGAGTTCTGGACCGTTGGCGGGTTTTCCTACACAGCTCAAAACCGAGACGAGAACACACTTTTTTTTGTTTGTTTGCCCCTGTAGTACTCTGTAAGTAGACTGTAACGTCTGTCACTCGTACTAGGCTACTGCCAGTACTGTGGCGTCTCTTCGCTTGCTGTGCTTCCTGGAGTTCCTTACTGTGCTAGACATAGACCTCGTGCATGGAATTGCAGCTTGCAGTGCAACCAAACAGCCGTGCTAATGCACAGATCTCCAGTGCACGACACCACGGCCTGTGTATTGTGCATAGCGCGTGGAGCAGGGCGTTGCAAGAGGCCAGGTCCGGAGCCCCTCCATCTCGTCGAACACCTTGCGCGTCGCGAGCCGGGTGTCCCGTTCAGCCGGGGCGCCGACGAGCGAAAGCAGGCGACGAAGCGGTCGGCGCGAGGCCGCGGCGGAGGCCCCTGTGCGTGCGGCGCCCCACGGGCGCCGCGGAGCCCTGAGGCAGAGGCGGACTTGAGGAGGGATGAGAAGGAGTGGCGGTTGGGGTGTGCCCGGGCGCAGCATGGCGGAGAAGAGGCGCAGCGGTGCGGTCGGGCGCGCGCGCGGGGGGCAAGCGGCAGGGACGCGGAGGTGCGCGTGCGCGAGGCAGTTGTAAGGAAAGGCGGCGGAGGGGAGGAGCGTCGGGGGTCAAGGTCAAGGAGCAGCACGCCGGAGGTGAGGAGCAGCGCGTGCACCTGGAAGAGGCGGCGCCGGAATGGGAAGTGCTCCTGGACGAGGCGCTCGAAGACGGCGTACGAGTACGGGGAGGCGCGCCGCATGGCCGCACGCACAGGAAGCTGGATAGGACCTGTCGGCATTGCACGGTCGACCGGGCGCTTATCGGCATCGCAGAAGCGGCGGGACGCTGGTATATACACCTATCGGCTACTCAGGAGCCGAATAGTCCGATCGTGTCTACAGTAGACAGGACGCCAGGTGTATACAACTGTCGGCTACTCAGAAGCCGACAGGTCCCCTATCGGCACTACAGTAGACAGGACGCCAGGTATATACACCTATCGGCTATTCAGAAGCCGACACGCTGCTATATGTCAAATTTTCGTATAACAGCTTCTATATTTGCAATTAATCATTAAAATTATTATTTAAAAAAATCTAGTTTTCTGATGTGGTCTACCGTCCGTGAGAGGGAAGCACGCTCGCTCGGTGAGGGAAGCAGGGCCGTCTGTGAGAGGCTGATCTGAGAGCGTGACCGTGCCCAGCCAAGATTGGCCTCGCCTCCTGATTGCTCGTCCATGGCTACACACGTATTTTCCTGTTTTTTTCAAAAGTACGTTGCAAGTGTTTCAACTGTTTTGGACGTATGGTACAAGTACTTCGTCTAGATGTTGCAAAAATAGATCTAGTGTTGCACATCTTATAGTGGGACCCATCTGTCGCAACCACCTGCTACAGTGTTGCCCGCATGCATGCGCATGGGAGCGGAGAGGGCGCGGGCGGCAGGCGCGAGAAACAGAGAGGGCGCAGATCGAGACACGGCCCCCGCATGGACGCGCGCAGACGCGGGAAACGGAGCGGCGTCGGGCCCCTACGTGAAGCAGACATAGGCGTGCTAACAGACGCAGCAGCACGTATACGCGCGGGCGCCCGGGCGTGAGCGTCTGTCGGGAGGTCCGAGCACAAGCCTGACCGAAAAAAGAGTAAAAGCAACAGGAGGGCGCCCCATAGGGACAATCATGCTGCAAATAAAATCAATCGTGACACAAATCAACCGAAAAGGAGATTTTAGCCCCGTTGATAGCTAGATTTCTTTTCCTTCGGATTATCACCGTGGCTAAGGAACCAGTAGTGGTCACTATTTTCACCGGCGGTGATGAATGAAGGTCAAATCCGATGGTGAAAGGGATTTTGGACCCCAACGGTATTGAACTTTCTATAACCGTGAGTTATGATTAGAAACAAAATTTATCTTACTAAAACTTGGATCAACCGATGGTCCAACTAATCAAAGGCTTAGATAGTACCAAAATTAATGTTATGATATACTTACAAGTAAATATTTGTATACTATTGCCAATATTATATTGTGGATATTTATAGATTTTAAATTTAGAGAAAAAAAACATAAACAGATATATGTAAGATTATGTAAGATTGATGTCCTTGTTTCACATGAATGAATGTTTGATATTTTTTTCTCTCATTATAATGTACGGGTATGTTTGCTAGTGAAGAAAAAAACCCTCCTATGTTGTTGGATTTTATAATGATCTAATCGTCCGCATTAATCTAAAAATATTCTATATGAAATTAATTAAAAAAAGATTAAAAAAAACCTATACCAATTGGATTTATGATGAATCTGCAAAGAAGTGTCACGTGAAAGCTCGCGAATTGCAACAGGTAACTGAATTAATTGAGCTTTACCGTACATGTTTGGTCAGCCTTTTAGCTAAAATCCGGTCGGTTTTGTATTACCAAGTGGCAGCGTTTACGGCTTTAAGCTGAAATGGTCTTGGCCACAGGTAAGGCCTAGGAAGACTGAGTTTATGGACAAGGCCATTTACATGTCGGAAACTTGGGCCAGTGAAGGGGGCTGGTCTAGTCAGGCAAGACTGATGTCAAAGCAGATCAGAACAGTGGGAAGGCATTGGAGTTCTGGACCGTTGGCGGGTTTTCCTACACAGCTCAAAACCGAGACGAGAACACACTTTTTTTTGTTTGTTTGCCCCTGTAGTACTCTGTAAGTAGACTGTAACGTCTGTCACTCGTACTAGGCTACTGCCAGTACTGTGGCGTCTCTTCGCTTGCTGTGCTTCCTGGAGTTCCTTACTGTGCTAGACATAGACCTCGTGCATGGAATTGCAGCTTGCAGTGCAACCAAACAGCCGTGCTAATGCACAGATCTCCAGTGCACGACACCACGGCCTGTGTATTGTGCATAGCGCGTGGAGCAGGGCGTTGCAAGAGGCCAGGTCCGGAGCCCCCTCCATCTCGTCGAACACCTTGCGCGCGTCGCGAGCCGGGTGTCCCGTTCAGCCGTGGGCGCTGACGAGCGAGCAGGCGACGAAGCGGTCGGCCGCGAGGCCGCGGCGGAGGCCCTGTGCGTGGAGCGCCCCCACGGCGGCCGCGGAGCCTGAGGCAGAGGCGGACTTGAGGAGGGATGAGAAGGAGTGGCGGTTGGGGTGCCCGCCGCGGGCGAGCATGGCGGAGAAGAGGCGCAGCGGTGCGGTCGGGGCGCGCGAGGGGGCGGCGGCAGGGACGCGGAGGTGCGCGTGCGCGAGGCAGTTGTAAGGAAAGGCGGCGGAGGGGAGGAGCGTCGGGGGTCAAGGTCAAGGAGCAGCACGCCGGAGGTGAGGAGCAGCGCGTGCACCTGGAAGAGGCGGCGCCGGAATGGGAAGTGCTCCTGGACGAGGCGCTCGAAGACGGCGTACGAGTACGGCGAGGCGCGCCGCATGGGCGCACGCACAGGCAGCTGGATAGGACCTGTCGCATTCCACGGTCCGACTGGTGCTATCGGCACTGCAGTAGACAGATCGCCAGGTGTATACACCTATCGGCTAATCGGAAGCCGACAGAACCCCTATCGGCACTACAGTAGACAGGACGCCAGGTATATACACCTATCGGCTACTCAGAAGCCGACATGTCCCCTACCGCCCATTCATCGGCCGACACACTGCTATATGTCAAATTTTCGTATAACAGCTTCTATATTTGCAATTAATCATTAAAAGTATTATTTAAAAAAAATCTAGTTTTATGATGTGGTCTACCGTCCGTGAGAGGGAAGCAGGGACGTCTGTGAGAGGCTGATCTGAGAGCGTGACCGCGCCCAGCCAAGATTGGCCTCGCCTCCTGATTGCTCGTCCCTGGCTACACACGTATTTTCCCGGTGTTTTCAAAAGTACGTTGCAAGTGTTTCAACTGTTTTGGACGTATGTTACAAGTACTTCATCTAGATGTTGCAAAAATAGATCTAGTGTTGCACATCTTATAGTGGGACCCATCTGTCGCAACCACGTGCTACAGTGTTGGCCCACATGCTTGCGCAAGGGAGCGGAGAGGGCACGAGAAACAGAGAGGGCGCAGATCCAGACACGACCCTCACATGGACGCGCGCAGACGCGGGAAAAGGAGCGGCGTCGGGCCCCTACGTGAAGCAGACATAGGCATGCTAACAGACGTAGCAGCACGTATACGCGCGGCACCCGGGCGTGAGCGTCTGTCGGGACGTCCGAGCTCATGCCTGACCGAAAAAAGGGTAAAAGCAACAGGAGGGCCCCCATAGGGACAATCATGCTGCAAATCAAATCAATCGGGACACAAGCCAAACGAAAAGGAGATTTTAGCCCCGTTGATAGCTAGATTTCTTTTTTTCTGATTATCACCATGGCTAAGGAACCAGTAGTGGTCACTATTTTCACCAGCGGTGATGAATGAAGGTCAAAACCGATGGTGAAAGGGGTTTTGGACCCCAACGGTATTGAACTTTCTGTAACAGTGAGTTATGATTAGGAACAAAATTTATCTTACTAAAACTTGGATCAACCGATGGTCCAACTAATCAAAGGCTTAGATAGTACCAAAATTAATGTTATGATATACTTACAAGTAAATATTTGTATACTATTGCCAATATTATATTGTGGATATTTATAGATTTTAAATTTAGAGAAAAAAAACATAAACAGATATATGTAAGATTATGTAAGATTGATGTCCTTGTTTCACATGAATGAATGTTTGATAATTTTTTCTCTCATTATAATGTACGGGTATGTTTGCTAGTGAAGAAAAAACCCTCCTATGTTGTTGGATTTTATAATGATCTAATCGTCGCATTAATCTAAAAAAAAATATTCTATATGAAATTAATTAAAAAGGATTAAAAACCTATACCAATGGGATTTATGATGAATCTGCAAAGAAGTGTCACGTGAAAGCTCGCGAGTTGCAACAGGTAACTGAATTAATTGAGCTTTACCGTACATGTTTGGTCAGCCTTTTAGCTAAAATCCGGTCGGTTTTGTATTACCAAGTGGCAGCGTTTACGGCTTTAAGCTGAAATGGTCTTGGCCACAGGTAAGGGCCTAGGAAGACTGAGTTTATGGACAAGGCCATTTACATGTCGGAAACTTGGGCCAGTGAAGGGGCTGGTCTAGTCAGGCAAGACTGATGTCAAAGCAGATCAGAACAGTGGGAAGGCATTGGAGTTCTGGACCGTTGGCGGGTTTTCCTACACAGCTCAAAACCGAGACGAGAACACACTTTTTTTTGTTTGTTTGCCCCTGTAGTACTCTGTAAGTAGACTGTAACGTCTGTCACTCGTACTAGGCTACTGCCAGTACTGTGGCGTCTCTTCGCTTGCTGTGCTTCCTGGAGTTCCTTACTGTGCTAGACATAGACCTCGTGCATGGAATTGCAGCTTGCAGTGCAACCAAACAGCCGTGCTAATGCACAGATCTCCAGTGCACGACACCACGGCCTGTGTATTGTGCATAGCGCGTGGAGCAGGGCGTTGCAAGAGGCCAGGTCCGGAGCCCCCTCCATCTCGTCGAACACCTTGCGCGCGTCGCGAGCCGGGTGTCCCGTTCAGCCGTGGGCGCTGACGAGCGAGCAGGCGACGAAGCGGTCGGCCGCGAGGCCGCGGCGGAGGCCCTGTGCGTGGAGCGCCCCCTGAGGCAGAGGCGGACTTGAGGAGGGATGAGAAGGAGTGGCGGTCGGGGCGCCCGCCGCGGGCGAGCATGGCGGAGAAGAGGCGCAGCGGTGCGGTCGGGTTGTGCGAGGGGGCGGCGGCAGGGACGCGGAGGTGCGCGTGCGCGAGGCAGTTGTAAGGAAAGGCGGCGGCGGGGAGGAGCGTCGGGGGTCAAGGTCAAGGAGCAGCACGCCGGAGGTGAGGAGCAGCGCGTGCAACTGGAAGAGGCGGCGCCGGAATGGGAAGTGCTCCTGGACGAGGCGCTCGAAGACGGCGTACGAGTACGGCGAGGCGCGCCGCATGGGCGCACGCACAGGCAGCTGGATAGGACCTGTCGCATTCCACGGTCCGACTGGTGCTATCGGCACTGCAGTAGACAGATCGCCAGGTGTATACACCTATCGGCTAATCGGAAGCCGACAGAACCCCTATCGGCACTACAGTAGACAGGACGCCAGGTATATACACCTATCGGCTACTCAGAAGCCGACATGTCCCCTACCGCCCATTCATCGGCCGACACACTGCTATATGTCAAATTTTCGTATAACAGCTTCTATATTTGCAATTAATCATTAAAAGTATTATTTAAAAAAAATCTAGTTTTATGATGTGGTCTACCGTCCGTGAGAGGGAAGCAGGGACGTCTGTGAGAGGCTGATCTGAGAGCGTGACCGCGCCCAGCCAAGATTGGCCTCGCCTCCTGATTGCTCGTCCCTGGCTACACACGTATTTTCCTGGTGTTTTCAAAAGTACGTTGCAAGTGTTTCAACTGTTTTGGACGTATGTTACAAGTACTTCGTCTAGATGTTGCAAAAATAGATCTAGTGTTGCACATCTTATAGTGGGACCCATCTGTCGCAACCACCTGCTACAGTGTTGCCCGCATGCATGCGCATGGGAGCGGAGAGGGCGTGGGCGGCAGGCGCGAGAAACAGAGAGGGCGCAGATCGAGACACGGCCCCCGCATGGACGCGCGCAGACGCGGGAAACGGAGCGGCGTCGGGCCCCTACGTGAAGCAGACATAGAAGTGCTAACAGACGCAGCAGCACGTATACGCGCGGGCGCCCGGGCGTGAGCGTCTGTCGGGAGGTCCGAGCACAAGCCTGACCGAAAAAAGAGTAAAAGCAACAGGAGGGCGCCCCATAGGGACAATCATGCTGCAAATAAAATCAATCGTGACACAAATCAACCGAAAAGGAGATTTTAGCCCCGTTGATAGCTAGATTTCTTTTCCTTCGGATTATCACCGTGGCTAAGGAACCAGTAGTGGTCACTATTTTCACCGGCGGTGATGAATGAAGGTCAAATCCGATGGTGAAAGGGATTTTGGACCCCAACGGTATTGAACTTTCTATAACAGTGAGTTATGATTAGAAACAAAATTTATCTTACTAAAACTTGGATCAACCGATGGTCCAACTAATCAAAGGCTTAGATAGTACGAAAATTAATGTTATGATATACTTACAAGTAAATATTTGTATACTATTGCCAATATTATATTATGGATATCATGGTCATCATAAAATAAATTATAGATTTTAAATTTAGAGAAAAAAACATAAACAGATAAATGTAAGATTATGTAAGATTGATGTCCTTGTTTCACATGAATGAATGTTTGATATTTTTTTCTCTCATTATAATGTACGGATATGTTTGCTAGTCAAAAAAAACCCTCCTATATTGTTGGATTTTATAATGATCTAATTGTCCGCATTAATCTAAAAAATATTATATATGAAATTAATTAAAAAAGATTAAAAAACCCTATACCAATGGGATTTATGATGAATCTGCAAAGAAGTGTCACGTGAAAGCTCGCGAATTGCAACAGGTAACTGAATTAATTGAGCTTTACCGTACATGTTTGGTCAGCCTTTAGCTAAAATCCGGTCGGTTTTGTATTACCAAGTGGCAGCGTTTACGGCTTTAAGCTGAAATGGTCTTGGCCACTGGTAAGGCCTAGGAAGACTGAGTTTATGGACAAGGCCATTTACATGTCGGAAACTTGGGCCAGTGAAGGGGGCTGGTCTAGTCAGGCAAGACTGATGTCAAAGCAGATCAGAACAGTGGGAAGGCATTGAGTTCTGGACCGTTGGCGGGTTTTCCTACACAGCTCAAAACCGAGACGAGAACACACTTTTTTTGTTTGTTTGCCCCTGTAGTACTCTGTAAGTAGACTGTAACGTCTGTCACTCGTACTAGGCTACTGCCAGTACTGTGGCGTCTCTTCGCTTGCTGTGCTTCCTGGAGTTCCTTACTGTGCTAGACATAGACCTCGTGCATGGAATTGCAGCTTGCAGTGCAACCAAACAGCCGTGCTAATGCACAGATCTCCAGTGCACGACACCACGGCCTGTGTATTGTGCATAGCGCGTGGAGCAGGGCGTTGCAAGAGGCCAGGTCCGGAGCCCCCTCCATCTCGTCGAACACCTTGCAGCGCGCGCCGCGAGCCGGGTGTCCGTTCAGCCGTGGGGCGCCGACGAGCGAAAGCAGGCGACGAAGCGGTCGGCCGCGAGGCCGCGGCGGAGGCCCTGTGCGTGGAGCGCCCCCACGGCGGCCGCGGAGCCTGAGGCAGAGGCGGACTTGAGGAGGGATGAGAAGGAGTGGCGGTTGGGGTGCGCCCGCCTTGGCGCAGCATGGCGGAGAAGAGGCGCAGCGGTGCGGTCGGGCGCGCGAGGGAGGGGCGGTGGAGGACGCTGGAGGTGCTTGGCAAGGCTGTGAGGCAGTTGTAAGGAAAGGCGGCGGAGGGGAGGGCGTCGGGGTCAAGGTCAAGGAGCAGCACGCCGGAGGTGAGAGCAGCGTGCGGCACTGGAAGAGGCGGCGCCGGAATGGGAAGTGCTCTGGACGAGGCGCTCAAGACGGCGATGAAAATGGGGAGGCGCGCCGCATGGCCGCACGCGCACAGAAGCCTGGATACGACCTGTCGGCATTACGGTCCGGACCGGGCGCTTATCGGCATTCTGCAGAAGAAGCGGGCAGGACGCCTGTATATACACCTATCGGCTACTCAGGAGCCGACTAGTCCGATCGTGTCTACAGTAGACAGGACGCCAGGTGTATACAACTGTCGGTTACTCGAAGCCGACAGGTCCCCTATCGGCACTACAGAGACAGGACGCCGGTATATACACCTATCGGCTATTCGAAGCCGACACGCTGCTATATGTCAAATTTTCGTATAACAGCTTCTATATTTGCAATTAATCATTAAAATTATTATTTAAAAAATCTAGTTTTCTCGATGTGGTCTACCGTCCGTGAGAGGGAAGCACGCCGCCGGTGAGGGAAGCAGGGCCGTCTGTGAGAGGCTGGATCTGAGAGCGTGACTGCGTGCCCAGCCAAGATTGGCCTCGCCTCCGATTGCTCGCCCATGGCTACACACGTATTTTCCTGTTTTTTTTTTCAAAAGTACGTTGCAAGTGTTTCAACTGTTTTGGACGTATGGTACAAGTATTGCGTCTAGATGTTGCAAAATAGATCTAGTGTTGCACATCTTATAGTGGGACCCATCTCGCCGCAACCACCTGCTACAGTGTTGCCCGCATGCATGCGCATGGGAGCGGAGGAGCGAAGCGGCAAGCGCGAGAAACAGAGAGAGGGCGCAGATCGAGACACGGCCCCGCAAGATGGACGCTGCATGCAGACGCTGGAAACGGAGCGGCGTCGGGCCCCTACGTGAAGCAGACATAGGCGTGCTAACAGACGCAGCAGCACGTATACGCGCGGGCGCCCGGGCGTGAGCGTCTGTCGGGAGGTCCGAGCACAAGCCTGACCGAAAAAAGAGTAAAAGCAACAGGAGGGCGCCCCATAGGGACAATCATGCTGCAAATAAAATCAATCGTGACACAAATCAACCGAAAAGGAGATTTTAGCCCCGTTGATAGCTAGATTTCTTTTCCTTCGGATTATCACCGTGGCTAAGGAACCAGTAGTGGTCACTATTTTCACCGGCGGTGATGAATGAAGGTCAAATCCGATGGTGAAAGGGATTTTGGACCCCAACGGTATTGAACTTTCTATAACCGTGAGTTATGATTAGAAACAAAATTTATCTTACTAAAACTTGGATCAACCGATGGTCCAACTAATCAAAGGCTTAGATAGTACCAAAATTAATGTTATGATATACTTACAAGTAAATATTTGTATACTATTGCCAATATTATATTGTGGATATTTATAGATTTTAAATTTAGAGAAAAAAAACATAAACAGATATATGTAAGATTATGTAAGATTGATGTCCTTGTTTCACATGAATGAATGTTTGATATTTTTTTCTCTCATTATAATGTACGGGTATGTTTGCTAGTGAAGAAAAAAACCCTCCTATGTTGTTGGATTTTATAATGATCTAATCGTCCGCATTAATCTAAAAATATTCTATATGAAATTAATTAAAAAAAGATTAAAAAAAACCTATACCAATTGGATTTATGATGAATCTGCAAAGAAGTGTCACGTGAAAGCTCGCGAATTGCAACAGGTAACTGAATTAATTGAGCTTTACCGTACATGTTTGGTCAGCCTTTTAGCTAAAATCCGGTCGGTTTTGTATTACCAAGTGGCAGCGTTTACGGCTTTAAGCTGAAATGGTCTTGGCCACAGGTAAGGCCTAGGAAGACTGAGTTTATGGACAAGGCCATTTACATGTCGGAAACTTGGGCCAGTGAAGGGGGCTGGTCTAGTCAGGCAAGACTGATGTCAAAGCAGATCAGAACAGTGGGAAGGCATTGGAGTTCTGGACCGTTGGCGGGTTTTCCTACACAGCTCAAAACCGAGACGAGAACACACTTTTTTTTGTTTGTTTGCCCCTGTAGTACTCTGTAAGTAGACTGTAACGTCTGTCACTCGTACTAGGCTACTGCCAGTACTGTGGCGTCTCTTCGCTTGCTGTGCTTCCTGGAGTTCCTTACTGTGCTAGACATAGACCTCGTGCATGGAATTGCAGCTTGCAGTGCAACCAAACAGCCGTGCTAATGCACAGATCTCCAGTGCACGACACCACGGCCTGTGTATTGTGCATAGCGCGTGGAGCAGGGCGTTGCAAGAGGCCAGGTCCGGAGCCCCCTCCATCTCGTCGAACACCTTGCGCGCGTCGCGAGCCGGGTGTCCCGCTCAGCCGTGGGTGCCGACGAGCGAAAGCAGCGAGCGAAGCGGTCGTCGCGAGGAGGCGCGGGGCGGAGGCCCTGTGCGTGGAGCGCCCCCACGGCGGCCGCGGAGCCTGAGGCAGAGGCGGACTTGAGGAGGGATGAGAAGGAGTGGCGGTTGGGGTGCCCGGCGCGGGCGAGC